ACCCATTCTCTAGGTTTCCTCCCCTCACCCCCCAACCCCCAACAGGCCCTGGTGTGTATTGTTCACCTTCCTGTGTCCAAGTGTTCTCATTGTTCAATTCCCACTTATGAGTGAGAACATGCGGTGTTTTGTTTTCTGTTCCTGTGTTAGTTTGCTGAGGATGATGGCTTCCAGCTTCAACCATGTCCCTGCAAAGGATATGATCTCATTCCTTTTTATGGCTGCATAGTATTCCATGGTGTATATGTGCCACATTTTCTTTATCCAGTCTATCATTGATGGGCATTTGGGTTGGTTCCAAGTCTTTGCTATTGTAAATGGTGCTGCAATAAACATACGTGTGCATGTGTCCTTATAGTAGAATTATTTATAATCCTTTGGGCATATACCCAGTAATGGGCTTGCTGGATCAAATGTTATTTCTGGTTCTAGATTCTTGAGGAATTGCCACACTGTCTTCCACAATGGTTGAATTAATTTACATTCCCACCAACAGTGTAAAAGTGTTTCTACTTCTCCACAGTCTCACCAGCATCTATTGTTTCTTGACTTTTTAATAATCACTACTCTGACTGGTGTGAGATGGTATCTCACTGTAGTTTTGATTTGCATTTCTCTAATGATCAGTCAAATGTTGAGCTTTTTTTCATATGTTCAATGGTTGCATAAATGTATTCTTTCAAGAAGTGTCTGTTCATATCCTTTGCCCACTTTTTGATGGGGTTATTTGTTTTTTTCTTGTAAATTTTTTAAAGTTCCTTGTAGATTCTGGATATAGTATTTTTAAAGTTTTCTGCAGCAAATTAAAAAAAATATTTACCAGGACAGTGTCATATGAAAAGAAACCACAAGGTGGCACCAGAGTACGTAAAGTTACTGTATTTACTGTTATTCTAAGACAATGATAGGATAACGTTCTTTTAAAGGATATTTTTAGATTTTCATGTAAATGATGTAAAAACAGGATTAACATTTTAAATTTCAAATGTTTTCTGGGTCTGGGTACTATTTGGCTGTCAAATGTGAGAACACACTGGGTAAGCATTTTAGATGACAAAACTGAGGAGAAAGTCAGAAATGGAGGGCCGAAGAAGGGATGTGTGATCATAGCATTCCCGAGGCTGATGAAAATGACTACTTTGCTCTAAACAACACAAAATCCATATATGTATCTATTGACATGTGTGTATATGTATGTATATACATACATCCATTAATTGTGTACATTGATTTTACAAATACATTTTACATATATTATGTATAACATGTATGTCATGTATAAAACATAGTATTATCTGTAATATATGCTATATGTAATGTTATCTATATATCATATAGCATACACACACATGCACCCACACAAAGCAGTAGATCATTTTCCTCAAAGGAAGCTCGCTGGGTTATTTTGTGACTCCATGCCTTTCCTAGAATTGCTCCCTGTCTCACATTCCTGTTCAGAGGCCATTCAAAAATTCCTTCCTTAGTAAAGCACTTCCTGACACCTGCCCAGGGAAAACCTATTACTTGCTCTATAGTTTGTGCCCCATTGTTTCCTTACCTAGTTTTATATCAGCATCTATGCCTTTTCAGTGGACCTATTTATTTTCTAACCTGCCATATTTTATTTAATTGTACATCCTTTGAGGAAAGAACTGTGTCTTGTTTGCTTTTGCCTCTGAGAACCTGGCACATAATGGGAATCTAAGAAATGTTTCATGAATGAATGTCAGGCATTTCATACTGACAGAGCAGAATGAAAAAAAAAAGCCACACAGAACACAGAATGTACTTTAAATAATGGTCCCAAAGTGAACATTTTCTGGCTAATATTGTTATCAATCACATTTAATCAATAACAGTGAGTATAAAATCATAATTAAATTGCTAATATCACGAATGTGAATATTATCATTAAATGGTTACTATTCTTCCTATTCCTTGGGGTGTGGAGTAAAATAAACTAATTTTAACAAACATGAAGGTTAGAGAGATAAACATTATTTTAACCATTTTGCATATTAACATTAACTTGTACTTGCATAACTCTCCACCTCCTCATTCACTGCATCTATAAACCGCATCAAATAAAACTAGACTCAACACCGATCCTTCCATATGCTGGTTGGCACTCCCTCATCAGCTAGAAGTTTAAGTTTTTTGAAACCCCTGTTTACAAACCTTCTGCTTATTTCCAAATAATGCTGCAATGCTAACATCTGAGCCAACAGAATACTTCCAGAATAGAGGACAAATGAGTGATTTGTGAAAGTTCCCTCTATTTCATGACACTATATTTTGTCCTCTCTGCCTATACTTTTGGCTGGTTCTCTGATTAACACAATGTTAGGCACTCAGTGGCCAATTATTGAAAGTTTGACTAATGAATAAATGCACCATTTGCCCAGTTGTTGAATTAAAGACTTTGAGATGAGAGTTGTCAAATATATGCGTTTTGACTTCTTACATTGTTTATAGAAATCTCAAAGTATGGGTTATTTTATATATTCTTTTCATGTTTATTCAGTGCCTAGCAGAATTTTCTTACCCAAAGAATGTATAATAATGCTGTCTTTATAATTTCTAATCCTATAATTGTGTTTGAATGGTGGCTCTATGATTTATTAGCTGTATTAATCTTTTTTTTTTTCAGGCTGGTTTCCCTTTGTAAAATGCAGAGAATAGTAACTGGCTAATAGGTTTCTTTAGAAGATTAAATGAAATTATATGATAAAAACTGTTAACAAACTTTATCCAGTCATTTATTGCTGCTTAATAAACCACTTCTAAAATTTAGTGGAATAAAATGAAAACTATTGTATTATGCTCATAGATTCTGTGGTTTAGGAACTGGGGATGTCTGGTACCTCAGAAGGCTCAAATAGCCAGGGATGCATCAAATGCTGGTGGTGCAATCATGTGCAGAGTTTCTTATGTACACACATAGTTGTAATGACTTGAAGAACAAGCTCCTCTGTGGCGTCCACTGGGGATTGTAAAGTATCCTCTCTACTTGGTGTGTGCTTCTTGCAGCATGGTGACTGGGCTCCAAGAGGGAGTGTCTTCAGAGAGGGTATGTGGAAACCAAGCATTCCAAACAATGAGGTGGAAGATGTGTGGCTTTTCTGACCTAGCCTCACATTTCACAGGAAGTCACTTTCCCTATTTTTTTTTTAGTTACAAACTGTTCACTACATCCAGCCTAGATACCAAGGAAAGGGGAACTAGACTTCATTTAAGAATGGGCAAGGTCATGTTGCAGGAGGACCTATGGGTGGAAGACATTTTTGTGGTCATCTTTGTAAAATGCAGTCTGTCTAAATAGTGTTTGGCATATACTAAGCAACCAAAAACATTTTGCTATTATTGTAAAGGGTCGTATATAATTACAGTGTATACTTATGGATATATATATATATATATATATATAGAGAGAGAGAGAGAGAGAGAGAGAGAGAGAGAGATGCAGTCTTGCTCTGTCGCCCAGAGTGGAGTGCAGTGGTGCAATCTCTGCTCACTGTAACCTCCACTTCCCGGATTCAAGCGATTCTCCTGCCTCAGTCTCCTGAGTAGATGAGATTACAGGTGCATGCCACTGTGCCCGGCTAATTTTTGTATTTTTAGTAGAGACGGGGTTTCACCATGTTGGTCAGGCTGGTCTTGAACTCCTGACCTTGTGATCTGCCCACACCGGCCTCCCAAAGTGCTGGGATTACAGGCATGAGCCACCTCACCCGGACTATTTATGGATACTTTTGCATTTGTAGTCTGAGCAATAGGCTCTGAGTTTAATAAGAACTCTGAATTCAGCACCTGGGACAGTGACTCACATAACTGGCTCTCAGTCATTATTCGTTGAATGAATATGAATGTTTTGGTGAATGAACTAGTTCTATCTCCTGATCACACATTTGAGTTATTGATCTTCAGTGCCAACTGACACCTTTTCCTGGAATGAGCTAGAAGAGTTTGTCCACTGAGATGACTAAAGCCTATAGATTCGTGATTCTTACATGGTGAGACAATGGTGCCCAGTTCTAGCCGGGTGCCTTCCCTTTATCTTTGGGTAACTTATGGCAACATTGTGAAGATGTTTCAGCCCTCTGAGGTTAGGAGGGACAGAACGTTTTCTTGTTTGGGCAATTTTTTGTGTATACGTGTTGTAACTTTATCTTAGTTTTCTTTGCTATTTGCTCATGTTAACTTGCCTTCACCTATGACTCAGTCTTTGCTTTTGTTTGATTTGTTACTTAAACTTCCTGCCTTAGTAATCTTATTGAGTAACATGACCTTAAAAACAGGTCTGTGTGTATCTGCCTATCATTCTGCCAATCAATCAATCAATTGACTTATCAAAAACTGTTACATACACATAATTTCTAGTCCAGGCTGTCTACTCTTCATCTTCACTTGTCTATCTAATAGCAATCTTAAATTTCATGTTTCCAGAAATAGATTTTCTGATTTTCCACTGCCCTCAGGAACTCATCAACCTGCATCCAGAGACCTCCTTCCCCTTCTGTCTTTATACTTTCAGTTGCTCTGGTTGAAAATTATGTCATTATTTCTGCCTTCTCTTTTTCTCCTACTGTCTGATTCAATATGCATGATAATTTTCTTGGTTCTGCCTTTAAAATACATTGTCACCTTTCTCACATTCCATGGCTGTGGCTCTGATCCATTCCATTCTCACCGTTCTCTTGCATTCTATTTTCATAGACTCCTCACTGGTCTCAGCACTTCTGCTTTTTCTTCCTGCATTCTACTTTCAATGAAGTGGTCAGAATGATTTTTAAAAAATATAAACCAGTTCACGTCACTTCTTTATTTAAAACCTTCCTATCCTTCTCAGTGTCTCTTTCTCTCTAACTCAGACCTCAAGTCAAAGTTCTTACAATGACCTAAAATGCCCGAGAAATCCACACCTTGTCCTCCACCACACACATCCCCATATGACTTTCTTCTTGGTTTTCTCCCCCATTCTTCACTGTATCTATACTGACCTTTTGCCAAGCACGCTCTTGCTTTGGGGCTATTGCAATTGCTCTTCCCTCATCTTGAATTTCTCTTCTTCCAGGTAGTTCCAAGACTGGCTCTCTCCTCTTCAGGCTGTTGTACAAATGTCACCTTTTCAATGAGTCCATCCTGATCATTCTACTTAAATTATAACTACTCCAACATTCTCCATCATCCCTCCCCGCTTTATTTTTCCCACAGCGCTTTTTCACCATCTGACATTTATTTTACTTATTTTGTTTCTTATTAATTCCCTTACCGGAAAGCAAGTGGGATTTTTGTCTTTTTTTATTGAACTTAATCTCTCTGAGATCCTAGCATGATGCCTTTCTCAGGGACTCAGGAAATATTGATCAAATCCATGAGTAAATTAATAACATCCAAAATATTATTATATGTTTATATTCAAATGAAATAAACTTTGTCATCTATAAGATATTTATCAAAAAAATACCCATCAAAAACAATATGTATTTTTTCCGCAAGCTAGGTTGTTTTAACATTCTAAGTTTATTTCATGTTACTTTGCTTTCCTAAGAGTCTTGACAGGCTATTGGTCCTTTATTAAATGTTTTGTGCTTATTGATGCAACTTTTCTAGTGAAATAACTTATGAATTTAAATTCCAGGAGAATCTGACTTAATTTGTATCTTCATTTAAATATATTATTAAAAATGAAAATGATTTGCATAATTTGGGAGATATTGTTATGTATTTTCAAAATATGATCTTGTAAGTTATTTTTTAACAAACACAGGGAAGTAACGATTTCTACTGTAAGACAAATTGAGACCAAGGGCAGCCAATACTACAAAATTATAAATATTCTGGTGTTATAAATATGTTTAATATAAAAATACTTGACCAAGTGTAGATTGATTCTTCATGCTTAAAAACAAGATCAAGAAAATAATTTAGCAATATTCTAAACCAAGGGTAGTAACAATTGTGAATTATATGTATCATGAAATTTAGATGGATAGTCTGGCTATGTGATTTGCTTTTTAAAAGCTTATATGAAGAACTGTGTAAATACTGCTATTTACTGAGATTTCTAACGAATGAGGTGCTTTACCTCTGTGGATTTCTCTTAACAGCCAGAGAAAACATTATATAAACCAAACAAAATAAAACATTCATTTTGTTTCAAAAATGAACTGTTTTGCTATTTTTAAGGCACATACATGTGGTTATGTCACTTTTGCTGTACTTTTAATTCAGTTATCAATTTTGATACATTATTTGAATATGCTAAATTTAAATTTGAGTTGTAAGGAAGACATGATTGGTTAAAATTTAGGAATATGGAAAATTGAGTAAACATTTATGAATTGGTTTATTTATAATCACAAAGTTTTCATTAGAGAATTACATATGCATGTTTATTTCTACAATATAATTAATTTTCTGTGATGTTAGAAAAGTTTCTTAAGGTGATATACTTAATAAGGTGAATATAAGAAAATAACTTCTAATTCAGAAGGGATTATGCCCTGTTAGAGTATTCTTCAGGCAAATGATGAGCTTTATAGCAGTGTGTTAGTCAGGGTTCTCCAGACAGATAAAACCAATAGGATAAATGGGTGGATGGATAGACAGATGAATACATAGACAGATGACAGACAGATAGATGAAGGGATTTAATAGGAAAATTTGCTTTTTTATTTATAGAGGCTGAGACATCTCACAAAAAGCTGTCTACATGCTAGAGAACCAGAGAAACCAGTAGTATGGCTCAGTCCAAGTGTGAAGGCCTCAGAACTAGGGAAGTTAATAGTGTAATTCTCAGTCTGGGGCTGAAGACCTGATAACCCAGGGGAATGCTGGTACAAGTTACAGCATCCAAAACCTGGAGAACCTGGAGTTCTGATGTGCAAAGGCAGGAAAAGAAGGATATTCCAGCTCCAGAAGAGTGAGAGAGACAGAACAAATTTGCCTTTCCTTTGCCTTTTTGTTCCATCTGGGACCTCAGCTGATTGGTTGGTGTCCACCCACATTGAGGGTGAATCTTCATCACTTAGTCCACTGATATGCATACCAATCTCTTCTGGAAACAACCTCATAGACAACCCATAAACAATGCTTTAGCAGCTATGTGAGCATTCATTAATCAAGCTGACCCCTAATTTAACCACCTCAAGCAGAATAACTAATGTAGTTGGTCTACAACACAACCTAAACTGGGATTTAGACTATGTAAACATGTGTGGAGAACTGATGGGGGTGAATCGTGAATGAATCACCAGGGGTTTCATTGAGTGGGGAACTCTGAAATCCCCTAGTTGGTCCTAATAAGCAGAGACAAAGCCAGTCATGATGGGCTGTACTTCCCAACAAAGCCCTGGTTGTTGTGGAAAGCAGTGGTCCTGAATTTAGAGTGGTGGCTGGCATATGAGTTCATTCAAGGCTAATTGCTTGTGTCTGGGACTAGAAGAAAAAGTAAACAAAGACTTAACTACCTTTTTTTTTTTTTTTTTTTTAACTGAAAGTATTTTAAAATCTTGATAGAAAAGCAACATTACCTTGGGATTTCTTACACAAAAGGGGTGAGAAGTATTGGCTCATTTTACCAGAGACCACTCTACAGCTTTGACATTTGAAGAGCCCAGATGCAGATTTTGCTGCCCCATAAGAAAGAGTAAAGGAGCATCTCAGAGTTTCTCTTTGCATATAACCTTCGGAACTCTCAAAAATATTTTGAAAAAGAGGCCTTGGCAATTATTTCGGAATCTATGATGTAAGTGTTAACAAGAGCATGAGAATTTGAGCTAATATTGTTTGTATGACTTTGTTCCTGTGATGGTTAATTTTATTTGTCAGTTTGACTGGGCTAAGGAATACCCAGACACCTGGTAAAACATTATTTCTGGGTGTGTCTATGAGGGTGTTTTCAGAAGAGATTAGCATATGAATTGACGTGCTGAGTGAAAAATCTACCCATACCAATATAGGCAGGCATCCTCCAATCTTTTGAGGGCCTGTGTAGAAAAATAGCCACAGAAAGGGCAAATATCGGCTTTTTCTGCATGTTCTGGGATATCAACCTCCTCCTGCCTTTGGGCATTGGTGTTCCTGGTTCTTAGGAATTTGGGCTTGAACTGGAGCTAGACCACCAGCTTTCCTGGGTCTCTAGCTTGCAGGTAACAAATGGTGGAACTTCTCAGCCTCCATAATCCGGTAATCCAATTCCTCATAATAAATCTCTTTGGATATATTTATACATATTCTATTAATTCTGTTCTTCTGGAGAATCTTGACTGATACAGCCCCATCAGCTGGTGAGGTCCAGGGAGAATCATATTGCACTAAAATCACAATAACAATTTCTGCTTTATGGGACTACACACAATGGCTGTATGGCTACCCATGTCTGGTATATAATAGTTACTCAATAAAAGTTTATCGAATGAGTAAATATTTAGAAATAATAGAATACCACCAGAGGGCTAAATAAAAAATCTACCTTCTTTGGAATGCAGGATTTATATTCTAAGGACTGAGTGTGAAATCCATCAATGAGACTAGTTCTGTGATCTTGATAAATCATCTCCCTTCTTCATGCTCATTTTTCCTCATGGGAGTATAAAATGGCGACCTTGTTAGAATCAGATTAGATCATCGTTTGGCCACAGTGTGATGTAATAGGAAAAATTCTGCAGAATGTTCCATGGTAACATCGCTTCTCTTTTGTGTTCTTTCTTTAGGTCCCAAGTGTCAATTTTCATAAATTCAGGACTCTGACTTTGTATTTCTGTTTCTTTCAAATCCAACATTAATTTATGTATATGAATATATTCATACTTATTCAAATTTAACAGTAATATACATTTCCCCCATTTTTATGCTCTTTTTAAACAGTTATTGAAATACAATTTACATACCATAAAATTCACATTGTAAGACTACAATTCAGTGATCTTAGTAAATTTATAGTGTTGTGCAACCTTCATTACAATCCAATTTTAAAACTTTTCTATTTTTCCCAAAAGTTCCCTTGTGCCTGTTTACAGTTAATCCCTTTTTCTGCTCAGTGATATACAGTTAAGCACACGTATTATATCTTTCACAGATAATTACATTTATCTTCCGTTTTAAAAAAGCTTCAGATATTAAAGAAGAGATATCGAAAGAATAAATTATTATTAACCAAGCAGTCTGAAATCAAGTAGCACAAGTGACTACTTAAAAAAATGTTTCCACAGCACAGCAGCTGTAAGTGTCTAATGTCTGATTTTTCTGATAATATGTACTAGGTATCTTTAACTCTCTATCTGAGGTAGTACTAAGGTGTCAGTGGTGCTGTCGAGGAAGTGATCTACTCAGTAACAATTCTGGTGTGGATTTCTAAGAATGCTTCATATCTGCATAGAATGTCAAAAAAACAAAAACCAAAAAAACATGTATTTTACTTCTCTGACATTTTCCCAACTATGTCATGTTGAATAAGCTATTTGAGGTCACTGAACTTGTTTCTCATCTGTAAAGTGGGAATAATATTGATTTTTCTTTTGTTGCTTTATAGGGTTGTTATCACAGTAAACAAAATGTCTGTGAAAAGATCTTGTAAACAATTCTACACATAGGTTAGTTTCCCCCTCATTATTAATAAGTACCAACTGTGTTTACAGTGAACTCATTTTACAAAGATCTAAAACTGAGTTGATGAATAAATGAGATAAAGTATTTTTCATATGTGTGTTTATAGGCTCTGTGGTTCATTAAGTACATGGGTTGAAAGTAATTAACATCCATCAGAATTACATTTTCACATCACTTAAATGACTGAAATCTTAATATTAGTAGTGCATGTACAGAGTTTATTGAAATTTTAATATAATTCCATCTTTAAGTCCCAGAAATCTAATGTTTGACTTTTCTTGATGAAATTTGCCAAGAACTTTCATCTTTCCACTTGAGCAAGAATTTTAAGTTGCTAGTGGCACTCGGTGGGAAGCCTCCTACACAATGAGATTGCAGTTTCGCTCTCTGTCAAGGTTAAAAGCTCAATAGTATCTTGTCATATAGGGCAGAAGCAAGCTATTAGAATTGTCTTTAAGTGGAAAGAAATGAAATGAGGAATTTATAAAATTCTCCAAATCCCACTTCTCAAATATCTTTTCTGTCAGATTCCTCTGCTTTTGAATGGAACCCATTGTTGATAAAGCCATACAAGCCTTGTATTGCAGAGGTTTCTTTATCTTGTGCTTGACAGAGAAAAGACTCATTCTTTGCAGGCGTACATTGCACAGCTTGACAGTATTGAACATTGTAGATTTTGAGTTATATTTAAGTATTAGTTCCCATTAAGTTGCTGTATTTAGAGGGTCAGCCGTCTTGGTATTGTTTGCAAAGAATATGCTCATTCAAAAGAGCTCAATTTAAAAGTACATGAAGACATCAACAAGAATTTTTTAAATACTGGTTTATCACAATCATTGTCTCAGTAATTCTTTCATTAAAACTAAATCATAGATGAATAATGAATAATAAGTAATTATCCCTTTTGTTTGTCCATTGCTTTGATAAGAGAAACTTCCATTTTTCCCTTTTTCAGGTATTTTTAATTCTCTGGGTAAATATTTATTTGCATGTTTTCATCTTTACTTTGGATTGATTTTTATTGATTTTTAAAATATTAATTTAAAAGTAAAATATAAATCATTTTCCATCACATTGAAAAATCATACATTCATATCCTGGCTTACACAGCCTACATGATCTAACACTGGCCTCCCCGAGTCTAATTTTCTGACCTCGACTTAAGCCATTTTTCAGTACAATTAAACTCTAGCCCTTAACTCTTTCTTTCTTTTTTTTTTTTTTTTGCTTGTCCTTCCTACTTGAAAAGCCTTAGCAGTCCTAGTACTACCAGTCTCCTCTTCCTGGAATGTTCATCGCTCTAATCATGCCATAGCTACTGTTGCAGTTCAGTTTCCCAGGAAACAGACTCTGAGGTGAAAATTTAGATGCAGAGAGTTTATCAGGGAGTGCTGTCAGGGTCAATGTTTTGCAAGACAGGAAAGCAAGATTAGGCACAAAGAGAAACTGGGCTGTAACACAACCTCAGTAAAGTCCTTAGGTGGCCTCATAGGGAAATTGAGACCCTAAGCGTCGTCTGGAGTTGGATCAAGGAGGTCAGGACTTTATTCTGCATCATTAATTGTTAGGGAATGCAAGATGCTCATGGAAGGAATGTGATTGGGCAAGACAGCTCTTTCCAGTAAAGAACATTTCCAGAGGGGCCTAATGACTGAGAGTTCTTGGTCAGCAGTACTTCCAGCAGTGGGCGGAATATCCACTCTAAGTGTACCTTCATAGGGTCCAGTCCAGCTGCCTTTTTCTTTCTTTTTCAGATCTCAGCCTAAATGTCATCTATTCAGAAGGGCTTTTCTTTTTCACTGTGGAAGATCCCCAGTGAGTTATACCCTGTCTGCCCTTCTCCTTGACTGTGAGTGTTGTCATCAATAGGACATGGCAAAAGTGATGGACTACCACTCCCATGATTATGTTATGCCATATAAGACTTTGCCTTAGCTGGCCAGGCAGGATGGCTTATGCCTATAATCCCAGCACTATGGGAAGCTGAGGTGGGTGGATCATTTTGTGTCTGGAATTGGTTCCTTCTGGTGGGTTCTTGGTCTCGCTGACTTCAAGAATGAAACCACGGACCCTCAGGGTTGAGTGTTACAGTTCTTAAAGATGGTGTATCTGGAGTTTGTTCCTTCAGATGTTCAGATGTGTCTGGAGTTTCTTCCTCCTGGTGGGTTCGTGGTCTTGCTGACTTCAGGAGTGAAGCTGCAGACCTTCGCAGTGAGTGTTACAGCTCATAAAGGTAGTGCAGACCCAAAGAGTGAGCAGCAGCAAGATTTATTGCAAGTGAAATAACAAACCTTCCACAGCATGGAAGGAGACCCTAGTGGGTTGTTGCCGCTGGCTTGGGTGGCCAGCTTTTATTCTCTTATTTGGCCCCACCCACATCCTGCTGATTGGTCCATTTTACAGATAGCTGATTGGTCCATTTTAAAGGGAGCTGATTAGTCTGTTTTACAGAGTGCTGATTGGTCCATTTTTACAGAGTGCTGATTGGTGTGTCTACAAACCTTTAGCTAGACACAGAGTGCTGATTGGTGTGTCCTTACAGAGTGCGGACTGGTGCATTTACAAATCTTTAGCTAGACACAGAGTGTTGTTTGGTGTGTTTACCATCCTTTAGCTAGACAGAAAAGTTATCCAAGTCCCCACCTGACCCAGAAGCCCAGATGGCTTCACCTCTCAACTTGAGGTCAGGCGTTCAAGACCAGCCTGGCCAACATGGTGAAACCCCACCTCTACTAAAAATACAAAAATTAGCTGAGCATGGTGGTGGGCACCTATAGTCCTAGCTAGTTGGGAGACTGAGGCAGGAGAATCACTTGAACCTGGGAGGTGGAGGTTGCAGTGAGCCGAGGTCATGCCACTGCACTCCAGTCTAGGTGACAGAGCAAGATTCTATCTCAAACAAACAAACAAACAAACAAAATAAAACCTTGCCTTAGTTGACTAAGAGTCAGAGAGACTCTTGCTGGCTTGGAAGAAACAAACAACAGTGGTGTGAACTGCCTATGAATATGAAGCCATGTACACATAACTAGACTATCTCCAGGACTTGAAGGCTGCTTCCAGCTGATAGCAGTCATACCATCAAGCCATCATTATGGCCTCCCAGTCATACCATCATAAGGAAATGAGTTCTACCAATGAATGGTCTAGTGAGTTTGGAGAGGGGCCCTGAACTCCAGAAAGAATGAAAATCAAAACCATAACGAGATATTACCTCATACCTGTTAGGTTGACTATTGTCAAAAAGTCAAAAGATAATGTGTGTTGGTGAAGATGTGGAGAAAGCTAACCCTTATACATTGTTTTTGGGAATGTAAATTGGTACAGTCATTATGACATTAAAACAGTATGGAGGTTTCTAAAAAAATTAAAACTAGAACCACCATATGACACAGAAATTCATTTTCTAGGAAAATAACCAAAGGAAATAAAGTCACTACCTTGCAAAAAAACAAAAAAAAATCTTCACTGTCATATTAATTGCCGCATTATTCACAATAGCCAAGATTGGGAACCACCTAAATGTCTATTGATGGATGAGTGGGTAAAGAAAGTGGGTAATACACACACACACGTGCGCACACACACACACACACACACACAGATATGCAGTGGAATGTCATTCAGCCTTCAGAAAGAAGGAATTCCTGACATTTGGGACAACATGAAAGAACCTGGAGACATTATGCTAAGTGAAATAAATCAGTCACAGAAAGACAAGTACTGTGTGATCTCACTTGTATGTGGAATCTAAAAATGTTGAAGTCGTATAAATAGAGAAGGGTGGTTTCTAGGGGTTGAGTGTTAGGGAAAATTAGGAGATACTGATTAAAAAGTGCAGTTTCAGTGATAAGATAAATTCTGGAGTCCTAATGTACAGCATGGTAACTATAGATAATAATGTATTTCATACTTGAAATATGTTAAGACAATAGATCTTAAGTGTTCTCATCATTCAAAACAGTATCTATGTGAAGTGATGGAAATATTAATTAACTTGATCATGGTAATCATTTCA